CAACCACAACCACAACCACAACCACAACCACAACAACCACAACAACAACAACAACAACCACAACCACAACCACAACCACAACGAAAACAACAACGACAACGACACGACAACGACAACGACAACGACAACGACAACGACAACGACAACACCGACACCAACACCAACACCAACAACCAACCACAACCACAACCACAACCACAACCACAACGGCAACGGCAACGGCAACGGCAACGGCAAAGGCAACGGCAACCGCAACAGCAACAGCAGCACCAGCAGCAGCAGCAGCAGCAGCAGCAACAGCAACAGCAACAGCAACAGCAACAGCAACAGCAACAGCAACAGCAGCAGCAGCAGCACCAGCAACAGCAACAGCACAGAAACAGCACCAGCACCAGCAACAGCAGCAGCAGCAGCAGAAAGAGTAACAGCAACAGCAGCAGAAGCAGCAACAGCAACAGCAACAGCAACAGCAACAGCAACAGCAACAACAACAACAACAACAACAACAACAACAAGGTTGGACGGGGGGGTTTGCCCGGGAAAACAATGCGAAACGGCCGGGGAGGGTTTGCCCGAAGAACAATGTCACCGATCAAGTCATCAACACTGTGTGGTTCCCAAGACGTGTTGTTTGGCCACCAAGACCTCTTTGCACACAGCTGTGAAATTAAAGCCAACCCTAAGCAGGCAATGTTTCCGGTCAGGGCCAGGATTGGCACAAACATCTCAACAACACACTGACACACACGCATTCGTCGCAAAACAAAACAAGGTCTCAACAACAAACTGACACACACACACATTCGTTGCAAAAAACAAGGTTTCCACACCAGTTCACTGGAAACCAAAACATTGGTGGGCTTGGATACAGTTCTGAGCGGGTGCACTTGAACGGGTGTGCTTACCAGTTGGTGGGCTTGGGTACAGTTCCGAGCGGGTGCACTTCAACGGGTGTGCTTACCAGTTGGTGGGCTTGGATACAGTTCTGAGCGGGTGCGCTTGAACGGGTGTGCTTACCAGTTGGTGGGCTTGGATACAGTTCTGAGCGGGTGCACTTGAACGGGTGAAAGTGTTGCAATTGCGGTGTGCCCGCAGCATGTTACATATGGTACAAAATTCCATGACACGCTTGCCCAGAACATCACAGTTCGTGGACATGGCGCGCCTGGTGATGATGTCAACGATGCTCCAGATCCCTCAGACAGTCAATGGACATGGCGCAGACCATGTCTGCTCAGAGCCTCTGGCCTTTCAAGGTTAATGGGCATGACGCGCCACCTGAAGACGCCACCCGTTCGGACTTAGGGTTTGCCAGTTCATGGACTAAGCTGGCCAGTTCATGGACATACGCCAGTTCATGGAGATACAACTGACATGCCCATGAACTGCCAATGATTCGACCAAATCATGGACGTACGCCAGCTCATGGAGATACAGCTGACATGCCCATGAACTGCAAATGGTTCAAACAGTCCATGGACATGAAGCAGTTCATGCAGATGCCACCATCAAGGCCATGAACTGCCAAGACTCCAAGGAGGAAGGAAGATTGCCAGTTCATGGACCAGCGCGATGTGTCCCCTAACTGCCACTCACCTCCAATTTGCCTGGGTTCTTGTTTGTCCATGAACTGGGTTCATCATTTCTAGGCAATTCCGGGTCGCTCAGTTCATGGACAAATGTTTGAAAAACTGAAATCGTCCATCAGTTCATGGGCCCCAAGTCAGTGGAATTGGACACAGTTCTGAGCGGGTGCACTTGAACGGGTGTGCTTACCAGTTGGTGGGCTTGGATACAGTCTGAGCGGGTGCACTTGGACGGGTGTGCTTACCAGTTGGTGGGCTTGGATTCATTTCTGAGCGGGTGCACTTGAACTGGTGCGCTTACTAGTTGGTGGGCTTGGATACAGTTCTGAGCAGGTGCGCTTGAACGGGTGCGCTCACCAGTTGGTGGGCTTGGATACAGTTCTGAGCGGGTGCACTTGAACGGGTGTGCCTTACCAGATGATGGGCTTGGATTACACTTTCTGAGCGGGAGCGCACTTGAATGGGTGTGCTTACCAGTTGGTGGGCTTGGATACAGTTCTGAGCGGGTGCACTTGGACGGGTGTGCTTACCAGTTGGTGGGCTTGGATTCATTTCTGAGCGGGTGCACTTGAACTGGTGCGCTTACTAGTTGGTGGGCTTGGATACAGTTCTGAGCAGGTGCGCTTGAACGGGTGCGCTCACCAGTTGGTGGGCTTGGATACAGTTCTGAGCGGGTGCACTTGAACGGGTGCGCTTACCAGTTGGTGGGCTTGGATACAGTTCTGAGCGGGTGCACTTGAACGGCTGTGCTTACCAGTTGGTGGGCTTGGATACAGTTCTGAGCGGGTGCACTTGCTTACCAGTTGATGGGCTTGGATACAGTTCTGAGCGGGTGCACTTGAACGGGTGTGCTTACCAGTTGATGGGCTTGGATACAGTTCTGAGCGGGTGCACTTGAACGGGTGTGCTTACCAGTTGGTGGGCTTGGATACCCTTTCTGAGCGGATGCACTTGAACGGGTGTGCTTACAGTTGGTTGGGTTGGCTACCGGCTCTGAGTACCTGAGGTGGGTTGGATACAGTTCTGGAACGGGTGTGCTTACCAGTTGGTGGGCTTGGATACAGTTCTGAGCGGGTGCACTTGAACGGGTGTGCTTACCAGTTGGTGGGCTTGGATACAGTTCTGAGCGGGTGCACTTGAACGGTGTGCTTACCAGTTGATGGGCTTGGATACAGTTCTGAGTGGGTGCACTTGAACGGGTGCGCTTACCAGTTGGTGGGCTTGGATACAGTTCTGAGCGGTTGCACTTCAACGGGTGTGCTTACCAGTTGGTGGGCTTGGATACAGTTCTGAGCGGGTGCACTTGAACGGGTGTGCTTACCAGTTGGTAGCGGGTGCACTTGAAGGCTTTTGCAAAAAGAACGGCCAGGGGGGTTTGCCCGTGATTTTCAAGTCGCGCGCGCAATGTTTGTAAAAATGATGCCCGACGTTGGACTAATATCATCCTGCTGGCATGAAGATGCGAAACAAAAGCGCAGTCATTATCTGCGAAGAAATGCAAATGCCCAGTGACATGTGTAATATTTGCTGCGTTTTACAGCACGTCGCGCACCCATCTGCCGCGGTATGTGCCAAGGCATCGTGTGTCACAAGGCTGCCAACGCACTGATGACAAGACAACGAACGCAGGTATAATTTCGACTCTGCCGACAGCCAAATGTCCTGGTAAAAACGGGACGAAGTGGAAGTCACATGTCCGACGTGCTGCGTTTTACAGTATGTTGCGCTGCTGAAATTCCGGGCAAACCCCCCCCCCCCCCGTTGAGCCAACAACAACAACAACAACAACAACAACAACAACAACAAAGACAACCACCACCACTACCACCACCAGCACCACCGCAACCGCAACCGCAACCGCAACCGCAACCGCAACTGCAACCACAACCACCACGACCACGGCCACGACCACGACCACGACCACGACAACGACAACCACAACCACAACCACAACCACAACAAAGACAACGGCAACGATAACGACAACGACAACGACAACGACAACGACAACGACAACCACAACGACAACGACGACGACAACAACAACAACAACAACAACAACAACAACAACAACAACAACAACAACAACAACAACAACAACAACAACAACAACAACAACAACCACAACAACCACAACAACCACAACAACCACAACAACCACAACAACCACAACAACCACAACAACCACAACAACCACAACCACCACAACAACCACAACCACCTCAACCACCTCAACCACCACAACCACCACAACCACAAGCACAACCACGACAGCAACAACAAGCAAACAAACAAATAAGCAAACAAAGCAACCAAACAAACAAACAAAGCAAACAAACAAATAAAAAAAGAAGCAAAGAAGCAAAGAAACACAGAAACAAACAAACAAACAAACAAACAAACAAACAAACAATAACAACCACAACAACCACAACCACCACAACCACCACAACCACAACCACAACCACAACCACGCCAACAACAACAACAACAACAACAACAACAACAACAACAACAACAAGCAAAAAAACAAACAAACAAACAAACAAACAAAAAGACAAAAAGACAAACAAACAAAACAAACAAACATACAAACAAACACACGAACAAAAAAGAACAAAACACACAAACAAAAAAGAAGCAAAGAAACAAAGAAACAAACAAACAAACAAACAAACAAACGAACAAGCAAGCAAGCAAGCAAGCAAGCAAGCAAGCAAGCAAGCAAGCAAGCAAGCAAACAACAACAACAACAACAACAACAACAACAACAACAACAACAACAACAACAACAACAACAACAAGAACAAGAACAACAACAACAACAACAACAACAACAACAACAACAACAACAACAACAACAACAACAACAACAACAAGAAAAACAACAACAACCACAACAACGACAGCGACAACGGCAACGGCAACGGCAACGGACAACGACAACGACAACGACAACGACAACAACAACGAACGACAACAACGACACGACAACGACAACAACAACAACAACAACAACAACAACAACAACAACAACAACAACAACAACAACAACAACAACAACAACAACAACAACAACAACAACAACAACAACAACAACAACAACAACAACAACAACAACAACAACCCCAACCCCAACAACCCCAACAACCCCAACAACCCCAACAACCACAACAACCACAACAACCACAACAACCACAACAACCACAACAACCACAACAACCACAACAACCACAACAACCACAACAACCCACATCGCTAGAGGAGTCTCTTTGCGACCCTTGGAATTCCATTCCACAGTACCCCCGCACAGATGGGTGTTGTTTTTTAGTGCACCCCGAAAATGGGGGCTTGCCCTTGTGGTTTTCCTTGTCCAAAAAAGCCTCACCCAGTTCTTTTCCCAAACGTCGAGTTGCAGCGGATGCTGCGGTGGCGCCGTCTTTGACCATAGAGTCGTCCCGAGCACTCAAAGGGGAACTCTCCCGGGGCGAGAAGGAGGACACCACCGAGAGTCCTCGGAGGGGTCAAAGAGTCGGTCAGTCAAAATACTGTGGATGGACGAAATCCTGCACCACCTAGGAAACCCTAGAAGGATTTGGTTCCCCTGTAAATACCAGCAAAAAATGGTTTTCCATGCTTTCAAAGTGGTACAGGATTTCGTCCATCCACAGTATCAGGGGCTCCCGTCCACATGCCTAAGGGGTCCTGGAAGACGATGTTCCTTGAAGACGAGGTTCTGTGCTAGCGGACAGGAGGTTCAGGGGCGAATAGCTGGAATAGGGGGAGTATACCATAAAGCTGAAGTGATTGACATGGTTGAACCATAGTGCAAGTCATCAAGCTGTACCTTCCTCCACCCCAAAAGAAAAAAACAGTTGAAAACACCCAATTGGATCCTTTTACCCCCATCCTACTTTCCGTATTCTAGAAGCAGGGATCTGAACCTCTTCAACAAATGGGCCAAAGCCGGGTGGTCTAATTACAGGGGGAAGCGACCCGTAGTCTTACGTCTAAGCGGCCCCACTGTATAAAACGGTGGTGAAGGCGTCAGTCTTGAACGGAAACCACAAGGAAACCAACCACTTTTAGGATAGTCCTCCCCCCGACGTGAAATTCATTGGTATCATTCAATTGATAAGAAACAAATACCGTTCTGCCGAATGAAGTTTCTTTTTGAAGAACTTCACACACTGATCAGCCAGAACAAACGCCCGGTACAGAAGTCGACCCAAAAGACCATGGAAACAAAACCAAATACCTAATCAACCTGTCAGTTGACCTGTCCCCTCAAATCTCCTGCCCGTGTTTTGATTGCACCCTGTCGTCTCCTGAATGTAGCAAGCGCCGAGCAAAGGACTGAGGACGCCGTTGCTCCGTTGGCGTCGGCGGAGGTGCCCCCACGGGGATGCGCGTACTTCTGCCCTGAGAATTGTCCTGAGACTTGTGAATCTACGTGTGGTTGTTTGAGGCTCCGTGCCTCCCTTCTTGCTGTTTTCAAACGCACACCAAAAGAAAAAACAACCATTTAGGGGCAACCAGCCAACCAGCCAGCCAGCCAACCAACCAACCAACCAACCAACCAACCAACCAACCAACCAACCCAGCCCTAGGAAACAAACCAGCCCTATGAAACTTCCTCGGCCAACAAAACAGATAAGATCCTTAAAAATAACCGCCATCTTGCCATGGCCGACTTGTCGAGAAGCTGAAGCAATTTTAAGGCTTTAGGTCCGCTTAATTTAAAAAGGTTTATCGTAGACATGGGGCTTGATGAATATGTTTATTTACGGCCCTCACATGGCTGTGGCTCAATGAACAGGACCCAAATGGCACCTTGGTAAATGGAACCCAAACACTAACACCTGCGCAAGCCTAGCTCTTTAATTTTGAGCCACACCCAAACGACCGGCACACTTTTCCCACGTGGTTGAAATATGTTTTTGCTCCGCCAATGGTTATCCCATGTAAAGGACCGTTGGATCAACCCCCACATGGAAACCCCTCTGTATCATAGAGAGGATGATGAGACCCTTTTGTATAGAGGGACACCAGGTGGAAAGCAACCCCCTCTTTTTGGATCTATCAGAGGGTTGCACACTTGTTGGCCATCATAGGGAATCCAAAACATGGGCCCTGGTGATCCCCAAAAAGGGGACAGTTGAGCATTTCGATTGACAACTGCACCGTGGCTCCCCTATTTCGGACAACATAAAAGGAGGATATCTACAGTGGGCTAACTTGGTGGTTGCCCCAGCCTTTACTGTAACAAAATACGCAGTTGGTATCCCCAACAGCCCCCGACCGCCTCCTGGAATCCTCTGCAACCCTGAAAGCTGCCCCAAACCACGCCAAAGCCTATTTGGGCAAAGACCCGAAAGCTTTCAGCTGTTGGGGAAGAAAACACCTCAAAATTGATTTCCTCCATCATTTGCACAGTCAGTAGGTTGATGAGGGCCTATCATCTGCCCAGAGATCGTTTAGGGAAGCTGCCGGTGATCCATTCTGAGCCGTTCAACAAGCACCAAGCACTGACAATGGCTGGCGAACAACGTTTTATTGTTGCCCCAAGTGGGTCAGCCCCCAGTTGTGTAACGTTTGGGTTCCCAAACCCAACAGCAGACTACCAACTAATTTGTCGGCAGTGCCGACAAGCCCCTCCTCTCCGAAGCAAAGAAGGCATGCCCAGGTTGGGAAATCGGGCAGACATTGTGCGACGCCATCCACGAGTCCATCTATCAGCGACTCAAGGGCGACACCCTTAGCAATGCATCTCGAAATGCTTGCACTGCTCGACCCTCAAGGTTCATTTGTGCACATCGCGCCACTCAAAAAGCATACTGCCAGGATCCAATCCCCCCCTAACCCCTCGCTGCCCAAAGTTAACACAGCTATATTGGAGGAAACCAGGGGAAGAGGGGGAGTAGGGTGGTCGGACCCTATGACAAATAAAGCGCTCTGGGGCCGAGGCCAATGAGTTGAAATGCCATGCCTTGTGAAGCATCGCGGGCTCCACCGCAGTTTCGACCGTCGGGTGGAGGACTTGAATGGACCGGACATTCTCCTGAAGGCAGGTCCCAAGATGGAAGATGCAGAGGGCTGAAATGCACGGAAACCGAAAAGATGGTCGTCCTTTTGGCCGAAAACCAGGGGGCCTGTTCACAGTTCCACCCTCACCCCTCCCCCCCAAAAAAAACGGAATAAATAAATCAAATAAACTACATCCCCTGAAGCATCTACCTACAGCCTACCCACCAACAAAAGCAAGAATCCACTCCGCGTCAAGTTACGGCAATTCTGGAAGCTCCTGTACGTTTCCGCCAAAACGGAATGGAGTCCTGGAGGTTGGTTTACCCCGCCCTTCTTCCGCCCATGGGAATGACCAAAAGGTCGCCGCCCGGATTGCGCGGGCGGATGGCTCTCATCCAGAAATGGGTGTGCCTATGTTGCTCCAAACTATGGCATTCCAGGGGGGTGTTTCCAAGGCCAAACAAAAGGCGGGCCCCAAATTCTCTCGGGGACCTGCAAATGGGTTGGTGCATCTAAATCCAACCAAGTGATGTCCACCAAGCAACCCCCCGCCCCCCAAAAAAAAAAAGAAGAAAGAAGAAGAGATGAAAGCATGGAGGGTGTTTTGCTTGTTCCCCGAACCGTTTTGCTCACCGGGGTGTTGTTGGGCCCATAAGCCCTCAAGAGCTAAACTGCCTGTGGGTCAAAAATGGGTACCCAAAATTGAACCTGGCAAATGGAACCCAGGACTAAAACCTGGGGTCCTGTGGTGGTTTAATTTTGTCCTATACACAACTGGGGTTTTGGGGGAGGAACCTAACAATACCCTGTGAGTGAAACTAGTCACCATGTCAATAACCCCCCCATAAAGGGGTTTAATCATCAAGGTCAAAAGAAGATTGGTTCGTTGGAAAAACGAGGGAGGGCAACGGCACCTCGGGGCATGACCGAGACCACTTTCCAGCGAAGGGTCCTCCAGGAAGTCGGTCAAAAGACTGCGGGCCAGGTAGTCCCCGAAGGCTGGAGGCAGGTCCTTGCAAGTTGTTTTGCTGCTCGTTTGTTTTTGATTAAAACAAATGTGTATCGCCTGGATGGCATTGCCGGGATGGCTATCATTTCATTATGTGTTGGTGTTGGTGTTCTGTTCCCCCGATGTGGCTTGTTGTTGTGTTTGCTTTATTTTGTCGTGTCGCCCGATGCTTATTGTTTTCCGGTCCAATTTCTTCAGGGACCCTTCAAAACACTTTTGAGGGCCCAAAACCAGTCGGCAGCCTTAGGGTTTTACCAAAAAGTGAGAAATGGCATCGCCTTTGGTGACCTTGCCTATATACATCAGCTTTTGACCAGCAAATCCGCTAGCAGAACAAGGAACCCAAAGAACTCAACTCCATCCACTTTTGGAGGAACCTACCTCAAAACCAAAACGCCGTTTGCGCAGGTCACTTTGCCGCTGACCTGAACTACCTCAGCTTTTGCCTTCAACCATAACACGAGATGTCGCATTCTGGCCCATATGTAGTGAACCTTGACATGGAAACCGTCCATTTTTGGAGGAACCGCTTTCAATCAAAAGGTGGTGGTCCGTGCTAATGTGCAGGGGAGTACCTTCATGGACGTGAATACCCGACTAGATTACTAGACGCCGATAGCAAATGGACTACCCAAAACTGACTCCACCTGCAAAACCAATAGGGGCCCATTCAAAACCGACACGGGAAAACTAGCGTCCCACCAAAAGTTTGTGTGGGCAAGTGAGTGAGTGATTCCCCAATGCCCCAGACCTCAAATGGACCAAAGCGAATCAGGATATCTTGATGGAACCTCATATCTCGAAATTGGGACATCCCAAGCAAAAGTAAAGCTTCAACAGCAATCAAACCTGATTCTACTACTGCTACTGCTACTGCTGCTGCTACTACTACTACTGCTACTACTACTACTACTACTACTACTACTACTACTACTACTACTACTACTACTACTACTACTATTACTACGTACTAGGATAATGGCTGCTTGACTCAAAGAGATGATGATTCGCTCGCCGAAAGGGATGAAGGAAAATCGCCAGCGAAAACAGCGCAACACGCTAGTTGCCCTCCCACCAAACACGGAAGTACCCAAAGCCCCCTTTCCAAGAGGAAAGCAGTCTTTTCACAGGGGTCTGTGCACTTCCATCTCAGTCGGCGGGAGGGTAAAGTCTTTCAACGGAACTTGTCAAGACTTCGCTTTCGCTTTCGCTTTTTACGCCTCCGCCTTTGTTCGCTTTCGTTCGCTGAGCTGCCCCAAAGGCGGCCAGCGTCAGACGCGTGGCCGGGGCCTTGTGCTCGGCTTCGCCCTCTCCGCCCTCTCCGCCCCCGCCGTGCGTGGAGGTGGCCAGAAAGATGCTGAGGCCCTCCAGACTCCTTCGGATGGAAACGGTTTCGAAGGTTGAGACGAACGGAAGGAACCGAAACCAACACTGGTTTTTGGGGAATCTGCTTCAGGCCCTTGGGGCACCAAAAAGATCAAAGTCCTCGGGGAAAGATTGTTTCCACTGGCTTCCCTTCAAAACCAAGCCCTTTCAAAGCGGTCCATTTGAAGACTCCACCACCAAGAGTGCACCAAAGCTGACAGGGGCCCCAAAATGGCTGGTTCTATTGAAAACCAACCCATTTTAAAGCGGACCAACCCATTTTAAAGCGGTCCCCGAAACAAAAAACAACAAGACTCCAGCGCCACCAAGAGTGCACCAAAGCCCAAGATGGCTGGCTCTCTTCCACCCCAACGCCTTTTGAAGCGGTTTTTTTTTTCGAGGGCGAGCGGAGTGCCACCAAGAGTCATGCATCGCAGCTGCGGCGAGTTGGGCAAGCTGCTGGAGAAGCGGCTGAAGGCGAAGAGCTGAAGAGCCAAGCCTGATCACGGCGCAACAGCTCTAGGGGTAGCTTCACCATTCTTTCCAGGGATCCGAATCTTTTCAGGAAATCAAAAAAAGGAAACAGATCCGGTTTTGGAAAAGAACGATGGTTGAAAAGAATGGGGAATCAACCCCTAGAACAGCAGCCATTGGACTACCCCAGAATTGTCGCAAAATAGGTTGGAACCCCACAAGTGATGATTTTCCTGTTGGGTTTCAATTAAAGCCGAAACCATCTCCCAAAAATGGTGATTGGTCATTTTGATGTCCCTTGAAACCCACCGAAACAGGGGTTCCCTCAAAAATTTGACACACCCAGGTAGACTTTTCCCCAGTGGTTTATTTCCCAGGAGGAATCCACAGTTCAACCCTACCTTGGGGTCCAAACATGGTTCACCCCGAACAAACATATCACAAGAGCATCGCCGACCCCAAAGTGGCTCGGGTCTTGAATGCTTCGGTCTTGTTTCTTCAACATGGAGCACCTTTCAGATATAGGAAACCAGCAATTCAGGGTCCCAACATTTTGAGAACCCAAATTGAGCCCCTGCCATCGGAACCCAAACCGCAATGAGATCCTTGCAGGTTCCCAGTAGAGCGCTTCTTGGTTGCTGTCTGCAAGACGTGATTAATTTAGTGTGGTCCAAATTCGGACAATCCGACCAGTTTCAACCAAAAAGTTAAAGTCCAAAGACCCAACCAAATTGAAAATCCGACCTGTTTCCAAATTTCAAGTCCAAAGATCCGTTAGCAAATAGCCATAAAGTATTGGAAGGTTGAACCAAAGGATCTCAGGGACAATTCGGAAACTCTGAAAATAACTTCTCAGCATCGTGCGCGCTTGCCTTCAAATCTTTAACCATATCCACAAGGGTTCCAATTCAGTATAGAACAAAATCAAAGACCGCGGGTTTAGTCCTTTGTTCCATTTACCAGGGCAAGCCATTTTAGGGTTAACCTATTTTTGACCGACAGCCAATTCACAAATGGTGCCTCGTTTCGAGTTGGTTCCGTTGGGTTCGTTTTTCCAGGAATCTTCCGGGCTCTGCCCCAAACTTTGAAAAGTACAAACCAAGAAACGTGAGAGAGCGCACAGACCGGTTGTTGCTAGACGTTCCTTGGCACGCCACAAAAGCAACTTCTATGCTTGGTAGGGTACTCAAAACTGGCAACTGGGTGATGTGCAAAGCACTTGCCAAAGGCGCACAGCACAGGCGTCGGGGGGGGGGGGGACAATTTGTGTTTGAAGGGACCAACTTTTGAAGCGGATGTAAGGAACACCGAACAGGGAAACCTTTTGCCATTTGGGTGTTTCTCAAACTATCTCCCCCCCCCGCCCCAAACTGGTTCGAAACCCACCCCAAATAGGGTACCCTTCGCCTCAAAAAACGACACTCCCCAAAATGGATATCCTGGCGACTCAATGTGTCACAAGCAGCCCACTGGATCTGCGAGAGCAGGCTGCTCTTTGACGCATGGCAGTCCAAAGCCGCTTTGAAATCGCCGGTGAAAGACTGGAGCACCTCCAGCCCATCTGAAAGGGGGCTCTCTCTCCCTCCCTCCCTCCCTCGGTCTCTCTCTCTCTCGCTCGCTCTCTCTCTCTCTCTCTCTCTCGCTCTCTCTCTCTCTCTCTCTCTCTCTCTCTCTCTCTGTTTCCCTGAAACATTACCTCAACTGTCAACATCACTCTGAATTGGCCAAAAAAGGTGATGCTCCAAACCACCAAAAGGCGAAATTCAGCTTCCCCCTAGTCTGGATTGGCACGGAACTCGGGATTTGGTTCTGGTTCTTGCTGCGAACTCTCTCTCTCTCTCTTTCTATCTCTCTCTCTCTCTCTATCTCTCTATCTCTCTCTCTCTCTATCTCTCTTTGTTTTGGTCAGAAACCAACAACTGCTCACAGGGTGCACTGAACAAATGTGGGGCTTCCCACCCTCTAAACCAGGGCAATGAGGGGGAAGCTGTTCGTATAAACAAGGGGTGCTGACAGGGATGTAGTTTTACAGCTCCGACGCTTGCAACACACCGTAAATACCCTGATTTGTTTTTCTGCATGTGCAGACGCTGGCGACTCGGCGAAAAAGCCAGATCCGAGGGTCTAGCGGTCTGGCTCTAGCGCGCTGGAGCTAGCATGCAAATCGACTTGTTTGTCTTCTTTTTTTAAGGAGCATCGGCGAAGTCCAGGTCCCCTCACGTTTTGCGGAAAACAAACGATGGAATAAGACCTTCTCGTAAAAAACGTAGGATTGAAAGAAGACGCGTACCAATTTATGCTGGCACCAGAGTCTGCATCGAAAATGAGGAAGCCGCTCAACATGGCAAGCGCCACATGCGCAGCATCCGTGGAGGGTATCAAGCTGACAATGCACAACTAGCTGTAGGTGCAAGGTCAATTGGTTGTTCATTCCACTGGATGTCGGCTGGAGTCTATGTCTGATTCTCAAGTATTGTTACCAGTCATGCAGGGTTTCCTTTTATGCCATCCAACATCTTCGTCCGAATAGAGGTTGGAAACTGGCTGAAAATGGCCAGTGGAGGAACTCAAAGGTCACTGTTCACGTGCTCCAAATGAATAGCTCTTGCCGGTGTAAACCTTGACAGCTTCTTGCTCACTGCTCCTTGCATGACTTGAGCCGGCATTCGTGCATGAGGCGAATGATTCGCAGCGAGGGACTCCTTCGTGGCAAGAATCCGCACGCTGGGCTTGCGAGCCACCCGCAGTGTCAGAACATTCGCCGCGTTTTGATCCGAAGCGATCGAGCATCATTCTCGACTCGCCCGCACGGCATCTTCACAAACCTGCTTCAGCCACAACTGGACTGGAGAGCAGGATAAGAGTGACTGTGCTTTTGTTGCGCGAACCCTTGAGGGCGTCCACGAACCCTTGAGGGCCCCGTCCCCTTTGGGGACAGGCAAAAGACTCACCCGTGACGCGCAGCATCTTTACACCATTGCTGTGGTCAGTGCAGCTGCAAGGAGACTGTGAGGTCAAAGGAAGCTCATGCCAGCCTCAGCTTGCTGAGACTCGCACAAGACAACCAAACACGTTGAGAACGTCAATACCGTTCGATGCCTCTCAAAACAGAGACAGAGAGACTGATACCGAGACAGAGCGAGAGAGGAAGAGCAATTCAAGAAAAAATCAAGAAAAGCAAAGCTAAGCTGCGAGATCATGTGAGCCGCAGCCAAAAAGAGCAAGCAAACAAGCAAGCAAACAGACAAGGCAGCCAGCAAAGCAAACAAGAGAGCAAACACAAAACAAGCAAGCAAACAGGCAAACAACCACGCAAACAAGCAAGCAAACAAGCAAACTGAAAAGGAAGCCAGCAAGAAAAAAACACGGAAGCAAACACAAAACAAGCAAGCAAACAAACAAGCACAAACAAGTAAACACGCATGCAAGCAAGCAAGCAAGCAAGCAAGCAAGCAAGCAAGCAAGCAAACAAACAAACAAACAAACAAGCAAGTGAACACACAAGCAAGCAAGCAAACAAGCAAGCTAGCAAGCAAGCAAACAAGCAAGCAAACAAACAAGCAAGCAAACAAACAAGCAAGCAAGCAAGCAAGCAATGGCTAAGCAAGCAAAGCAAGCCAGCCAGCCAGCCAGCCAGCAAGCAAGCAAGCAAACAAGCAAGCAAGCAAATAAACAAGCAAGCAAACAAGCAAGCAAGCAAACAAGCAGGCAAGCAAACAAGCAAGTAAGCAAGCAAGCAAGAGCAAGCAAGCAAACCGACAAGGAAGCCAGCAGCAAACAAACGAGCAAGCAAACAAGCAAGCAAACAAGCAAGCAAACAAGCAAGCAAACAAGCAAGCAAACAAGCAAGCAAGCAAGAGCAAGCAAGCAAACCGACAAGGAAGCCAGCAGCAAACAAACGAGCAAGCAAACAAGCAAGCAAGCAAATACACAAGGAAGCAAATAAACAAGCAAAAAAAACAAAGCAGGCGCGCACGCGCATCTCCCGCAGCACATCTCCTGCAGGTCCGGGGGCCAAGTGCCGGAGCTGCTCGAAGCACATGAGGGAGATCGTGGTGTGGGGCCCAAGTCGTAGCCACTGCATGCCTTGGTGCGTTCCCTTGCATCTGATCCAACTCTTGTGGGGGGGGGGGGTCCAAAACACCTTGAATTAACTTTTCTTGGACCGGGGGCGGGGGTTGTCATAAGCACCTCTGAACTTAAGAGAGGATAAGTCTAATGAACGTGCCCCCCAACCCCAAAAAACAAGTTGGGGTCCTCTTGGTTCCCGTTGAACCAATCCAAAAAAGGAGAAAAACACACCCACATGGGAACCGAGATGCTGAAGCCGCGGTAGAGCGCAGGTAGACCTTCCGCTTTGGCCGTCTTCACCAGGCAGTCCAAAGTGCTGGTGTATAAAGCCCCATTCCTGAGGTGAAAGATGGTACACTACCCCCATCTGGCTAGAAAACGTTTAGATAAAAATCGCCGCCGCAATGTCCACCATGTGGGGTTTGGGACCTATTAAAACCCATGTCCCGGCTCCCGCCTCTTTGACTAAGTGACATATGTGACATATGTTTGTCCAGATGGCAGGCTACCTGTGGGTTGGATGAAAGGCCCTGGGTCGTGTTTAGGGAAAAATACAATGAACTTTGCCAGCCAGACTAAAACCCTGTCGCTTTCCCCGTTTAAAACTGGGGCTGAGTCCCAGGCACAAGCTGGCCCTCCCTCCCTTTCTTCTCCTCGGCCCCAGCGGCTCGGGCTGCGTCATGATGCGGCTCTTGGCCAAATCCACGGGGCTGGTGACGCCTGACCCGATGGGCACAGAATCCATGTCGCGCCCTTGTTGGCAATGGCTGATCAACCATAGGGCGTCCAAAACAAGTACCCAAGCTTCTGTGCCACCAACATGGTCCAAACCCAAGTTTAAAGTCCAGGAACTCAGGAAGTGAGTGGTAGGTGGCTAATCAGCCAGTATTTCTACGGCTTCGTCCATGCCGAACTCGTGCGAAATGGATGTGATTCATCCATGAATTTGAATGGGTCTCGGACCCTTGGGCAGAGGCGGGGATTCATGTACGACCACTTTTGAAACTTGAGGTGGTTCCCTTTGAAAATTCATATTAATTCTGGCCACCGTTAAAAGGGAACCAAAAGGAAGGATATAGTCTTTTTTAAGGGACCCCAAAATGGTGTTGTTCCTCTTGGTGTTCCTTAAAATCGCAAAACATAGGTACCAACACACACCAACTACAAACCCATATGGACACCTTAGCGGAACCAAGAGAAGGAGCTTCAAAACATGCTTACACATGCCCCAATCCTGCCTGCAGCCACCACACCCGCCAGCATGCTGCAGCTGAAGTGGCAGAAGTAGCCCTCTTTCAGCAGGCCTCCCAAGCAACAGCCCCTACACTCTTTCCAACAATGGCCATAAATTTTAATCGAGAACCACCTCACAAGCGGTGGGCATAGCATGAATCCAAGACTTAATTTGCTGATGTCCACCAAAGGGTCAGCTATTGGAACACCCCAAGCAGGACACGAGGAATTTGGAAGATGAGTCTGAGGGAGTCCGAATCCTTTAAGCACATGGCGCACATTGGCTAGAACATGCCCGGAAGCCAAAAGGAAACCTCGGTGAAAGGAATGGGGAATCAACTCAACAGGGTTCTGGTAGGATCCAAACACCTGCACAAGGATCCGGATCTTCATGCTTCTCCATTTCGCGCCACTTGAAATTGCTGGCTTGTCCCCACCCCGTTTTTCGAAGTGGATTTCTTCCATCCACAGTAGAGGTGGTTTTGGGATTGCTCCAAAGGTATCCACTCTGGCTGAAACCTGAAAAGGCCTCGCTCGACTCTCGCCTCTGATCCCGCCTGCGTCCAGGAGCTTGTGCTTCGCATGATCGTAGCTGGGCACCTGCAGAGATACAAATGCAATATACTCAACTAGGCTTGGTGTTGTTGTACTTTAAGACCAAATTGACATGACTATGGTGGTAAACTATTGGCAACTATTAGAACCTTGTAATACACTCTCATGCCAAGCGAAAGGAATAAGTGTCCATTACTTTCTGGGATGCACAACTTGCAAGCCTGGAATGGTAAAGCATCCCCAAGTTACCACTTTTCATGAGCCCCACTTAATCCCATATTGTAAAGCCATGATCATTCTGCTTTTGCCAAGAGAAAAAAGGGATCCCGGAAAGAATGCAGCCAGGCATATTCATGTGAATCGAGGTCTTGCAAGCACTTAAGATACCCGGTGTGAGCGTTCGATACGAGCCACGGTCAAAATGACTTGGTTCCCCAAGAGGGCATGGGAAATTGAGTGAGTCCATGGTTCCTAGGTCCTCCAGTAAGAGGCCAGAATAGGGTACCCGTTTTTTCTCTGTAGTCTATTTTAGTAGGGAACCCTCCCCCAAAAAAGGGTAAAAGGGCACTACTGGGGCTAGGTTCTGTGGGAATCTAGTGAGTCCGCCACGTCCCTCCCAACTTCACCCGACCAATCTTGACCGAACCGAAGCCAGCACCATGCGGAGCTCGCTGCCAACCCCCCAACACTACCGCCCCACTACCGCCCTCCGCCCCAAACAACTGTCTAGACAGGCTCCTTCAGGTGGGTGGGCCAAACTTGAATCAGATGCCCTATCACAGTTCCAGCAACTTGTCGCTTTGAAGTGGGGGTCGTTTCATTCAAATACTTAAGTTGGCCATGTGCGTTTTGCGATCATCGGCTTCCTTTTGTTTGTTACCCGACACATGGCCCGAGGGCTCTTGCATTCCAATAAGCAACTGCTCGTGTGGGTCCTGGACAAATCAAGAAAAAGGCGGACCGCTGGGATTGAATAGGGGCCTCGGCAAAAAGATACTATTCGACTTCTTTGTGGGAAAATGAATCATCCCCCAGCACCCCCCACAACTGCTTTTCCCGTGTCCAAAATCGTCCAACAAGCAGTTATTGGGGTGGGGGGGGGCCAACCTTCTCTTTCGTTGCGGAAATGTTGGTTGGTAGGAAACAGAAGGAACCTCTACCGCCACTCCCTGCCTGCAAAGTGCAAGTTACTGAACCCAGCAAGAGGGCTCCCCAAACGGAAACAAATCTTCTATGTATGGTGTGTGGCTTCCACGTTCATCTGTCATACAAAGTCGGCACAAGAGTCGTTTAGCACCCACCAATTCCGGGGCACCCTAAAACCGGAACCTACGGTCGCGCGCTCCCAAAGCATTTGGTCACGCGCCTGGGGCCCCCATGGCCCCAAAGGGTGGCCTAGCTGCCTAGCAGCCACCCTTTACTTACTTCCTGAGCTGATGGGCCAAAAAAAGTCCAAACTGTTTGCCACTAAAATGGTCTTCCCAAAAAGTTTAAAGTCCAGGAACTCAGGGAGTGAGTTTAAGTGGTCTGGCTGACAGGGAAACACCCCCATTTGCAGTCCCCCTTGACTAAGGAGAGGTTTTGCTGACGTCGATTTACGGTTCATTCCCTGAAACAGTCAACACAAAACGCGAGCCCAGTATGGTGCGTGAGTTCTTTGAGGGTATCGTTTTTGGGGTTGGCCAACAAGTCCAACCAAAGGAAAACCACAATTGTTGGGTCCCCTATAAAAAGACACACACACAGGGTTCCGTTTCGGACTAAGGAAACTCAGGGATTTCCCTTTTGGGGGAATCGACCGGGCTTAGTCCACTTTGGAAAAAATGCATCAGGTCACTCTCACGTCAAGCGCAAGCGCGCGCTACTGCGCGAGGCCAGGCCTTGCCTGGGAGGCCGTGAGCAGCGCGGCGCGCTGCACTGTGGGCCCGGCGCCGCGCCACAGCCCCACGAGTCCCGCCTGGAGTGGAAATCCTTCGTTCGGGGGGTGGAAGATCACGTTCCTTTTACAGGGACCCCAAAGGTCAGGTTCCATGTGAAACGGGTGGGTATGTCTGGGAAAGTTAAATCCTGTTGGTGCAAGATTGGGGGGAGAGGTGGTGATTGTGTAAAGTTGGGCCTGTTCTAAAGGCTGGTTTTGCTTGTGGGAAGTTGTCGGGGTGGGCAAAGCCACGTAATTAGCTGCTTTCGCATCAGGAAAGTCGTTGTCTTTCTTTGAGTGGCAGGAATCTCTTGAAGTGATATAAACTGCTCATCAAAGGCGATTTTCATGCGCCTGCTGGTAGATGGAACGCAGGGCTGCCGTCACCTGAGCGAAGTGGCGGTTTGCGCCACAACCGTTGGGGAAGGAAGCAATCACTCCACCTGAGTTCGTAGGGTGATTGAATTTGGGAGCTGACCCAAAACCTTGGAAGCAAAAGGCGAGAATCGGGGCTTTGTTGAGACCTCAAAAAATGGGTGGCTCTTACAGGGAAAACCGAAGAGAAGAGCTAATTTTGCAACGACTGCTTGCTGCAGCCCAAGCGAATGGACCGTGTTCTCCGTTCAGGTCCAAAGTTTCCAGGGTTTCTTGAAGTACTATATAAACCAGAAGTATGAAATCTTCATGGACTAAATCACTCGTGTTACCCGTGAATCTGTGAGATCGGTATGCCATATGTCCCCTTTAACCATCACCCTACCAAGAGGAAATTCATCTGGCAGTGGCAACCATTTGATGTTTAGACAGGGAAAATATGGGTGTGTGTTTTGCAATAGGAACTCTGGTTTTCCCTATTGGTTTGCCTTTGAGACCACCCAACTGGTACCTCAAAAAAGTGGGCCCTGCGAGAAAAGTGGCCGATGCGACTGGTTCGGCTGGTTCGGCTGGTGCCCCTCTTGTCCGGGCCGCCGAAACTCGAGAGAGAGCATCGCTGCCCTGCATCCGGACCTTCAGCAGGTCGAAGGGGTTCGCCAGCAGAGCGCCCACAGCGCCTGACGGTTTACCGGCTCGAACCAGGCCAATGGTTTCGGGCGCTGAGGCGTTAGCACCGGGTGAGGTTCTGGGACATTCCAAGCGCACTCCCTAATCACACTTTCCTTTTTGCTCGGAAAGACTAACCCAGTTCCCCACATCTTTGGATTCAAGCTAGCCCAAAGCTTTCCATAGCCTAGGTTGGCCTTTGGGGCCAAAAAATGTTTGGCCAACTTCCCCACTTGACTCTTAATTGCCATGAACCAGCAATCAGCCAGCAAAAGGATTGTCTCAAAAAATATGGGCGTGTCTCAAAATATTGACGAGCCCACCACCCCCCGAAAAAACAAACAAGCTGGTGTCCATGTGGAATTACTTTAAAGCACACCAAAAAAATAAAGGAGACCGAGAATCGACCAAAAGACACGCCCAATATGCAAAGTTGGACCTGGGAAAAAATCGCAGGAATTGATCCCGCCTGTTGTGGCACCAGCGATGACTTTGATGACCAAGGGTGAGGTCTTTGTGCCTTCCCAACCTGTCCAGGCTTGGATTTGCTGATCAAACCTTTCACCTCCCAGTTGATGTTTACCCCTGATTAATGCCCTCCCCCCGCCCCCCAGTAATTCATCTGGCGGTTTTCCTGGAAGAAACGAATCCGGGAGCCCCGCCCACGCTTTATTAAGTGGGTTATGAATCAGGGCTCGAGATTCGGGGTGACTTTGATGGTAAGCCAGTGGATTGAAGTGGATAACCCCAATCCAACAAAAATCCGCCTGCGAATTTTCCGCCCCTTTCCAAGCTGCGAATTCCGTCTCCGTCAAAACCACAGGGCGGGGCGGGAAGGGGGGGAAAGAGGGGGTGGAACCCCCGGGGGGGGGGGGGGGTGGAACCCCAGAACCGCCTGCATTCCTTTGTGAACCCCCGAAACGGGGGATCCGCTGCTTCACTGGTTTGCCCGAGGTCCCAGCACAAGCAAACAAAAAAAAAAAACAACTCCCTCTACGCTGTGTGGAGGGCTTCCTTCTCTTGTGGTCCACCGGAGAAGAAAAAAAACGCCATGCTCGCTTGACACTTTTTTTGGAGCATCAGGATGGGCAGCTCCAACGCTGGCAAGCAGTCTCAGTCCCTTCGCCTGACTCGTTCCCCTGCAGCTGTGATGCGAGGCAAATGAACAACCATAGCTGCACGGGAGCGAGAAAAGCCAACACGGCAGGCTGTTGACAGGCTCCTGGCTGGAATGGCTGTCGGATGACAGGAAGTTTGTGCCCGAGGTGTGGAACCATTCCGATAGACGCACAGCCCAAGAGGCAGGCCAAAGAGCGCCGCCTATGCCAAGGTCGGAAAGCGACATTGCCGGTCGAGGAGGCAAGAACAGCCTGAAAGTAGATTGAAGCGACGTCTTTCTGCGCGAATGCCCGGTGGGCTTGGGCAGCCTTTTTGGACCATAGAGCCCCGGAGGTATCGGCGGTGAGGTAGTCACTGTGCAAGCTCCTGAGGCTGCTGACCGAAGACCTAGTTGGGGAAGGGCCCAGAGCAGGGTTGTGGGAAATGACCACCTCTGTTCTACAACAGAAAGGGCTTCCCAAAGACTACCCCCCATACAAAGGGGGAGATTCCCTTGGTTCACAGAAGTGCCTCAACCCTGGCCCAGAGCCTTCAAGATGGCAAAGGCCTTGCCCGGGTTAGGTTGCTTCTGAAGCGCCTGGCGCCGCCTCGTGAGAGGGTAGCGTGATTGAGCCGGAGAATAATGAGGACGGTAGGCCGCAAGGACATAAAGGGGGCAGGTCGGGCAGACCTGCCTTCCAGGCTTGGAAGGCTCTGGCGTCGGTAGCGCCGAGGGAGGAAGAGTGGCAGCAAGCTGATGGTGCAACTTCAGCAGCCGAAGGCCCTCAAACTGCGACACGGCACTCGTGCCAGCACCCCAAGGCTGGGGGAGGAAGACGAGCAAAGCCAGAACAGAAAGGAGCCAGGGATCTGCAAGCCCACAACCGACGTGACCAACCAACCAACTTGAGCACCGCCACGTAGTAGGCTTGCTTGGGTGTCATTATGATGTCCAAGGCGCTGCACCACGCTTCAAGTCTACCACCCCGTATCATTTGCCCATGTAGACTACTTGGGCGTTCAAGCTACTTTATAAGTAGGTCATAACCATGGTTCCAAGGAAACTAGCAGGCTGGCCCCAGGCGCCATCGGCGCCGAATGCCGCCGGCCTTGCAGTTTCACCAGATGTTCACGCACCGGCTCGTAGAGCCCCATACGCAGGCCGCTGTAGGAGAGCTCTCGGAGCATGGAAGGCTGCAAGCCTCACACGGAAAAACAACACAAGTCCACTTGGATGCCTCAAGTGGGAGGTGCCTTGCTTGGAACGCAGAAAAAATAAGGTCTCTTCAATAGGAGACAAAGCCCAATCCCCAATCCCAATCCAAAATCCCTATTGGAAAGCCTCCTTTCGTAAAGCAAGGTAAGGATCTTGCGAATCGCCTTTGAACATCCCAGACGCAGCCCAAAAACACCAAGGCCTGGCGCCACAGATTGATATGTATATATACAGCATGAATGCCACTCGTTTCTTTTCCCCCCGGCGCCACCTGTGCGGCTTGCCCGTTGCTCTGCATGCGCCCTTTGACACTGACATTGGCTGCTATCTGGTTGGATCTTTGGATCTTTAGACTTTCACTTCTTGGGAAACGACGATCTGTCCAACTGAACAACGAAACATCAACCAAGACAAAGATCCACACCAAGTTTGCGCAGATCCACTAAACAACTAAACAATAACTCAACAACTAAACTTTCCGCAGATCCACCAAGTTCAGCGGACATTCCCGCCATGTCCTGCCTCCGTGGCCCCGCCCGGAATTGGGGGGGGGGGGGGGGGGGGGGGAATGACCCGCCCAAACCCAACAAATTGACCTTAAGCTTTCGCTTCGGCAAAGCCTCCAAAGAACCCGTGTAAAATACCCAGATAGCAAATAGCATCTACCCAAGCCTTCATTTGGCCAAGTTGAACTTGGCCAACTCAGAAAGTTCCAATAAAACTTGGTCAAACCGGTTTAACGGTTTTCAGGAGTTTCAAGGCTTCAGCCAAGCAAGTGCACACACACCGCGTTCCAACTTTTTAAGGTAGCCCTGCTCAAAGAGCCTCAACGTTTGCTGCAGACACAATCTCCGCAAGTGCGTGCGCTTGTATGCTTCGGAAACATACCCAAAGTTCCAGCGTGCCAAACTCGCATTTTCGCGCGCCAATTTCTATTGCTAGCCCGCCCCTGCCCATCGTACTTCCTGTTCCCAGGCATTTTCAGGGGGGTCCCATTTCACTTTGTTGTTGCGGTTTTACTTGGTCATTCACTGGACAACTTGGTCATTCCGGATTATTTCACGGGTATTTCATGGTTCCATATTTGCACACAATTCTGCAAACACAATATTGGGCATGGCACCTTTCAACATGGTATACAAGCTGATTGCCCAGTTATCTGTCAAGGCCCTGGCAAGAAACACTCGTACCAACGCAGATCAAACCTGAGTTTTGCATAATATGCGCCTTGCCCACAACGTTGAGCCTATCACCTTGCACGAGTAAACAACTGGCTAGTTGTGAATAAAGCTCGGTCATATCGGGTGACCAAGTTAAACTTGGTCAGGGAAGGCCAGGGTCTACAGGCAACACAAACCATGGGCATAAATCCCAAACTGGAATTCAGGGAATCTCTGTGGACGAAATCCTGCACATGGATGGAAACGTCTAGGACCAGCAATTTGCCCATCAACCAGCTATCCACTGGTGGATCCTGCCTTTGGAAATTCAAAGGAAACAGAACTTTTAGGGGACCACTGCTTGGCTTGGAAATTTAACCTGGACCCCTCAAAAGTGAATGCACATACATCCGAAAATGATGTCCACCATGTCGGAAACCATGGGGAACACAAACAGGGGACACATATAAGAAAGCAGGCCTGTAATTTCGGCGCTCTGAGCCGGAGAAGTTAGGTAAAACTAATTCCACAAAAAATAATGCCGCATGCCCAATTGAATGTGTCTTTTTTTTAAAGGGGACCGGCGAAATGTTGGATTGCCCTTTTGGTTTTCCTCAAACACCAACCCAAACACATGTAATTAGCGTCCATTTAAAGGGTCCTCCCCCCATTTCCGGGAGCCAAACCGGCGAACCGGCGACTCGCCGAAGTGCATCGCCTCGGTGCAAGCCCCGCAGGCCCTCGCTCTCCCAGAGCTGGCGCACCGCCGAGAGCACGGTGGCGTTGCAGCTCGTGAGCTGAGACACCCCCGCCAGCTGCATCCGCACCTGGAGAACTACTTCGTTGGTGCGGAAAGTTCTGGCGGACAGTTAAATAGGTTGTTGTTAGCAAAAGTAGTACTGGAAGATAGTAATTTGCTTATGTTAGATGAACCAACAAATGACTTAGATATGGAAAATTGTGATGTTTTAACAGTTTTTTTACAATGCTATGTGGAACTGTAATAATGTTGGCCGCAAAAAACGGGACCCAACAAATATGTGTGCTCGGTGCTTTCGGGCCAGACTTGTTTGTTGGCCACAAAATCGGAGAAACGCGCAAAAAAATGTGCGCTCGCTGCTTCAAAGGGGGCCTTTCAAACCAAAAAAGAAGAAGAAAAGACACGGCCAAAAGGGTGGCTCATCTTGTTGCGGCGTACGGTGGCCCTTTTGTCGGGTGGGGTTAAAGGGAAATCAAAAGGAAGACTACCAGTTTGTGATGTTGTCAAAGAAACCAACACGAATCTAACGATTTAATCCACTTTCAAAAATCCCCTCTTGGGGGAAGGCAACAAGCATTTCAGGAATCACGAGGCCGCCACTTGGACTTCCGGCAAAAACCAAACCCTCATGACCCTAAACCCTAAACCCGAACTCCCAAAGTTGACCCCAAACCGAAACCCAAACCCTACAAACTGGAGCCCTGGACTCTAGACCCAGAACAAAACTCTGAACCCTACGCTGAAAACCTAAAACCTGCACATGTTGACCCCAGCAACTCGCCCAAAACCTGCTTTCAGTGCCAATCGGGTGGGCCCCCAGGTAAATCAACAGCAGGCCTCCAACTCACGCGGTTTCGCACGTCGGCTCCCCAATTGCAAGGGACTGGGGGCCTTTGTGTCCTCAAAATGGGAACCAACCCAAAAGTAACTTTGAGGCGAACCAGATATTGAGCCGGGCTCGCGAAATGGCGAACTCGAGCCTTGATGACATCTACCGGGTTGGTGAAGCATGCCGCCACCGCCTCGAACAAGGAATGTTCAATGTTAGTCTCAACGCGGGACCAATGGAAGCTGACAGGAATCTCTCTAAGAATTAGCCTGTTTTGTGGGGGCTCAGTCTGTGCATCTCAGGGGGGTTCCAAAACCACCCCTGCACCCCTCCATAGAGCCCTTCCCGCCAAACTGAGACGCGATGAGACAAATGGCCAGGCGCGTTGCTCACCCCAGCCAGGCCCACCCCCGTCAGGGCCGCCGTGGCCGACATGGTGCTCGCTCCCGGCCGAGAAAAGGGTTGTTATGAGCCTAGCTCGATCTCAAGCAAGTGGATGACAGAATCATCATTTAGATTCCCGACTGGTTGCGATTGAATAACTCTACTGGTTGTGATTCAACATTGCCTGACGGTCAACATTTGTTCAGGTCGGCTGTGTTTTGAAACATGGTGGCCAACCACTTTCGCGCTCATAGCTTTACAGCCCTTCCAGCCTAGAGTCAAGCACATCGGCGTTGGGCAAGTTGGTCGCTGTATAATCACCGAGGTGGAGGATAAAAGATGGCCTCTGAACAGAACAGAAAAAGGCTATGATCTTTTCAAGGGGAAAACTCTCACAAATGATAGGAATCCAACCAATACTGTCCAAAGGTCCAACAAAGAAACATGCATCCCCATTTGACAAGCTCCTGAAGTATCGGTGCCCCGTGAGCTAAAAGAATTCAACCATTCTCCGGGCACTTACGTACATTTGGACACAAAACCACGCGAGTCATAACCAACACTGCCCTTATCAAGGGGTCAATGACAGTTTCTGGAAGCGGGCACAGTTGGGTCTGTCTCTAAATGGGGGACCCCCAAAATGTGACAACCCAAACAACCCAAACAATGTGACCGAACCTCAACAAAACGGCATAAGCCCAGCGGAACGTGCTTAGGAAAAAATAAAAATAAAACTAAAATGCAGAATTTGCTTTTTTTGGGAACAAATGCAAACACACCTCACCTGGGTCTCTCTTCTTGGAGACTTGCTGCCCTTCGGAGAGCGGCAGCGCGGCGCAGCCGGGTCTTTTTGGCTCCTTTACTCCAAGTCTGCGAGGCTCACGTCTGCCAACTCCTCGAGGTCCAGCGCCTCCGGGAGAATGGAGGCGCGTCTTCTTGAGTTGGTACCGCCCCGTTTTCGGAGGGAAAGGGAAACCAAAAGGAAGACCCGAGCCATTTTGGGGGGGGCCCAAAAAAAGAAACCTCTCACAGGCAACCTCTCTCTTGGATTCCAGCCAGGAAATGGAGGGTGACATCCAGGAAGGTCATGTTTTTAGTGGATTGAGAGGGTGCCCTGTGGAACGCCACAATCTGTCTCTCCAAGTTGTTGCATCCTAAAATGATGCCCTGCACGATCCGCCGTCGCTTTTTCCAGCGTGGCGCAGATATCCCTGACGCCCTGACGGGTGTTCCATCTGAGCGCCACCTCCTTTCACGCCCGCCGCGTCTGGACCCTGCCGTGAGGACCTTGCTCCGGGCGAAGTGGTGTCCATCCCGAGAGAACGGAAAGCGCACCTCAGGGTTTGCAACCGCTCTTTGCGAACCGCCCCTATCTTTCCGACCCGATAACAACATCAGTTGCAATCTACCATCGCAAATTGCCATGAATCTTGGGGGAAAAAAATGTTTGCAAAGTTTCTCAAGTGGTGCAGGATTTTGTCCATACACAGTATTCCGCCCAAATGAGTCACAATCACAACCCGGTATTAAAATGGTCGATCCCCAGAACCTCGTAAAGAGTTCAGAAGGCGGATATCCCCGCAGCTAGTTGTGGCAAGGGGATTGTCCCGAGCCTTCATCTACCCGGGTTTTGAGCACTCCAATGGTTCCCGCGCCTCAGAGGATGACACACAAATGGGCCTTCCGGAAGCGCAGCGCGCACCCGGCCGCGCCCCGCACCGCGCAGGCCCGGAGCTCGTAGCCCCGGCAATCCCCGGCGGCCACGGCGTCCGCGATGACCGCCAAGGCGCAAATGGTCATGGCCTGCTGAAGCAAAGGTGGAGCTACCCCTTGTTCATACCCCTTCCAAGGGGGTAAAAAAGGTATGTACAAGCACCCCTGGACTGAAGCGAAGAAAGCGGTTCTTCCGTACCTACGACAAAATACCTTCTTCCCAACCAAGGGAGAGAGAAAAAAAATGCGATCTCCGTGGGGAAAGTGGGTACCTGTGACAGACTCTTCAAAGCACCACTCTGGTGCTACTGAGGCCTTATTCGCAAAACGGTGCCTCCTTTTTGCCGTATAAGGGTTAGTGCCAAAATGGGAGGATTGCCCAGCTCCACTGGGCAGCTCCCCTCAGCAGCTGATGGGAGTAGGATTGATGCCACTCCCACAGCGAGGGAGGAATCCTCCCACCTCACCGGGTGCCCTCCCGGCATCATGGGTGAGGAAGGAAAGTAGCGAAGATCAGTGTGATCAATTCGCTTTCGACTGAGGGGAAGACCCGGTTCTCAGTCGGAAATTGCGGGTCCGGATGAGTAAGTTCATCCGCCCACGTGTTAAAGTCGCGCTTCACATGCGACGGTCCCAACATGACCTGCTGGTCATGCAGCGTTAGCACAATTTCCATGAGGATGGCCGCATTGGGCATCCTGCGAGTGGAATCGTTAAGAAGGGAGAAAACATTTCCCTGGTTATCACTAGCAACCAGGATCCTAGTGTGAGAAGCCGAGCCGGCTGCACAAAGCAGAACGGCCCTCACCAAAAGGAGGAGGCCGAAGAGCTCCAAGGCCGCTATCGCCCGCTGCGGGTCCCCAGTAGTGAAGGCCCACGGCTCGCCCTCCGGTGTGATTCTGTGCTGGAACCACTTCACACGGGACTTGTCGGGGTTGGGCACGTCCGAGCACCAACCACCAACCCATGCATGGTCTGCCTGTCTGCCAGCTCCCGCATCAGATGCCCCCGTCCATGGGAGTGTGGGAGCAAACGGAGATGCCAGTGGGAACCTCTGGTTGAAGAGTCTCCCCAAAAGGATGGCCAGAGCACGAACCAGCTTCGGTGGCCTGCCCGAAGTGGTGCAGGCCTTCTTCCAGCTCCAAAAGGGCTGGAGGAAAGGTTTCGTCAATGGGCATGCCGAAGTAGCCCATTGAATACGGCCTAGGGCTTGTTCCACCTCCTTGCTGGTGAAGATGTCCCCCTGGGCCAGCCGTTTAAGAGTGGCCAGGATTATGACGTGTTTGACTGGAGCCAGCAGTACACAGGGCGTGATTGGGTCCACCACAAAGCCCAACCAGGTATTGATCGGGGAGAGCGCCGTCTTTTTCCAGGAAAGCGGGACTCCCAGCGCCAGCAGTGTAGCCAGGATGGCTGTGGCGTCCCAGTCCGCCCGGCTGCATCTGAGGACCCAGCAGTAGTCGTCCACAAAGACTAAGTGCCAGTCCACCTGAGGGAAGATGTAGTACAAGAGTCTGAGCACCAAGGATGCCTTTCTTCCCCAGTACAGTTGTGCCGAGGCCATGCCGTACGTGCCCACTCTGTTGACCCACCACCGGTTTTGGATGCAGGCCACCTGGTATTTCCAGTCTTTCGGGAGCACTTTTATACGCCTGTGGGCCTTGGTGACATCCGCCTTGAGGATGATGAAGGTTTCCCCCTGTGTCGGCGGCTGCCACATCAGGGGTTCCCCCCTGATCCCCCCAGGGCGTTCCGTGCCCGGGGGGGTTGGGGGGAAGGGGGCCCTCCTATCAGGGCCCTCGGCACCTGGGAGTGGTCCCTTCCCTGAGGGTGTCGACCCCAGAGAGAGGCCGCCGGAGGACGATCAGGCCCCTCGGACCTGGGGGGCAGGCTGGTGCTGTGGGGGTCCCTCTCAGGGCCCTCGGCACCTGGGGACTGCCCCTGCACCGGCTGGTGAACATCCCGAGGTCTCTCCTCAGTGCTCGAGAGCGTGGCTCGAAGTAGATGGGGATGGTCCGTCGCTGTTCTGAGCCAGTGGATGGCGTGGAGGCAGTCTCCAACCATCGGTGCAGTGGTCTTCTCCCCCGTATGAGCCTGGATGTGTGCGTTGGCTCCCCCTTTCGAGCCATCGTAGATCGTCCTGATCTTGTCTGACTCATCAATCCCCGCAAGGGGGCCCGGGCAAAGTTCCTCCGGTTTGCAGCGGCACCTCTCTGCCGCCTCCGACCGGGTGAAGGGCCCGTCCACCATGTCCAAGGCTCGTTCCTCGTAAAAGGTTGCCTCGATTTCACTGGCAAAGAGTTCAGCCGTTGGGTAGTTATCATGGGCCACCGGCGGGGGGGGGTCTTCCCCCAGCCAGGCTTCTCCCTTAAGCTCCTCCTTAGTCGGCCAAACTCCGGGGAGGTCAAGGTAGGGTCCGAGACTCCCAAGGGGACCCCCTCTTTCAGTGTCAGGGGGAACTCCCAATCAGGGTCACCTGAAAGGGATCCCAAGTGCGAAACTAGGTCCAGGAGGAAGGGTTGCCCTGGGCATCGTTCATGGAGGTGCCTAGGTCCCAGGATAGCCCGCAGCTCATCGAGGTCGGCTTCCTGGAAGGGGTGTGTGGTGGCACCTGATGCCAGGCACATTCGGACCTTGTCAATCCAAGGCCGGGTAAGGGTCATGATCAGGGCGCCCAAAGTAGCCAAAGGGGAAATTCTCCGAAAGGGGGGGTTGAGCCTCCCCGGGGAAGGTTTCCCCCCCCCATCCCTCAGGGGGCGTGAGCGGAAACCCAATTGGACAATCGCAACTCGGTCAATGAGGCGTGGGACCCTGAAAGCGGGCAGGCATTCGGGGCGGTCCAGGACCTGGTCCCCATGTTCTTCCTTCCCCAGTTGTTCCGCATCTCCGGCCATCGGGGGCATGGGAGATGGGAAGTCTGGGTTCATTGTTCCACGAGGGCTTACGGTGTCTGCCTCAAGGTGGATGTGCCCGTGCTGGCGGGGCTTCGGGGCATTCTTGCCTCCGGGCTTTGGGCCCTGGTGTGATGAGGAGGGACCGCCTCCCTGATTGGGTCCCCGTTTTCCCCGGGGGGAAGGGCCCTCCGGGGGGTCCGACCCCCGCCCCTTAGGTGGTTCCTTAGGGTTTCCCGGGAATTGTGAGGGGATCCGGATGTGCCCCGGCGCTGCGAGTGACACAGCGATGGCTTTGGCCAGGCCTGCCATCATATCCCAAGGGTATCTGCTAAGAGTCGAGGACTCGTTGGTGCCCACATGTGACTGATGCGTGCACCGCATTTGATCCCAATCCTGAATTGGGAGATCCGTGGCTAGCGTAGTGGCCTTCTTGACCAGCTGGCCCAGGCGGCACTGGTCGAAGGAGATTGCTGTCAAGGAGTTTGCCTCCATC